GGTTGGTTGGTTGGTTGGTTGGTTGGTTGGTTGGTTGGTTGGTTGGTTGGTTGGTTGGTTGGTTGGTTGGTTGGTTGGTTGGTTGGTTGGTTGGTTGGTTGGTTGGTTGGTTGGGTGATGGCATCACATCCATCACATTCCTAAACCTTGCTCCAAGAAGACAGCATACGTGGTGGGTCCTTGGATTTTCTCAGCATATTTTAGTTTGAATTCCACACAATAGGGAGTCTCCTACTACAACAACTCTTCTCTTATTATTTTTGTGGGGTGTGGGTTCAATGACTGGGCTCTTGGTTGGTTGGTTGGTTGGTTGGGTGATGGCATCACATCCATCACATTCCTAAACCTTGCTCCAAGAAGACAGCATACGTGGTGGGTCCTTGGATTTTCTCAGCATATTTTAGTTTGAATTCCACACAATAGGGAGTCTCCTACTACAACAACTCTTCTCTTATTATTTTTGTGGGGTGTGGGTTCAATGACTGGGCTCTGGAGGATGCCTACACTGCATTCTCCCATTGCCTAGCAGCAATACACCAATGTAGGCTCTGAGTGATGACGTTTTCACTCAAGTCTGCCTCTCTAGCATTAAATCAGGAACTCTCTGTGGCTCTTTGGTCTTCCCTCCCTCCTTGTTTGTTAATTTGGAGGTGTTGGTTTCTGTGGGTAAAATTGTGCAGGGTGATTGTAACAGAGTATCATTAGGAGTTGATCCAGGTGGTGTTAGGGGTGGCAGAAAGGACCTGTTGCCTTTGGGTATTAAGGGATCCCCTTAAGGCAAGCAGGGGATGGGGCATGGTCTGGCCTAGTTTGGGGGCTAGGGACCTGCCTCTGTCCTCAGGTGACATGGAACCACAATGTACACCCACATGGCTTCCTTGCAACTGTCATTCTTGCTGACTCTCAGTGAACCACTGATGGGCGATGCCATCTAGAGGAACTTTGATTTCTTGATGCACTGGATCCATTCCCAGTGCTGGGCCAGAAAAGCAGCTCTTATAACCAATCAAGTTGGGTCTTTTTTTTCCAAAAGGGTGTTGGTGTGTTATGTTACTGTACCGGCATATCTTGAAATGAATGCATCCTCTGGGACGTTACGTAATGCAGAAATTTCATAAACTGATACATGGATTGTGCTAGCAACGGGAGCGGTGCTAGAAACTTCCAGGTGCAATGCATCCTGGGGAAGCCCTTTTGTACAGCGGGGGGAAAAGAGGGAAAAAAACCATAAACCAAGGCATTATTTTCTATGGATTTTGGTTTGTAAATCAAAATTACATAAACCGAGACTTTCATAAACCGAGGTACCACTGTATATGCTTTACGCAGTCTGCGCCTGCTCAGCCCTTCACCCACAATATGGGTGACTTCCTGGTAAAACTAATTTCAAATTTCTCTGGCTCCCCTAAGAGCTTAATCCAAATGATATTAGCAGATAAACAACCTGATCTGACTGAGCGTGTAGCTGAATATCTTGCTGTTGTAATAAACAAGGCTGACTGTTTCAAGGAACCTTGATGTAACTTGACCATATTTATCTTATTGCACTGGAAAGTATAATCTGGATTCTACGGTTACTGGTTTTAATGCCAATAAAGGTTTTTGATTGATTAAAGACAAGAAGTAATCCTGCATGAAATGCCCTGGAGAGCTGCTGCCAATCAGATTGCACAATACTGAGCTGATGGACCCATGGTTTGGCTCAGTGTAAGGCAACTTCTTCTATCTAGCCCAAGTGTCATCCTACTACTGAACTGTGTCTCCCTCCTCTTTAAGCATCACTGCCCCTGTACTCCAGCATCCCACCTACTGTCATTTCTTTTGTCTTGTGTCATTCCACTCCCTACAATCACCTTTCCCCTTTTGATCATCACATTCTCCTCCTTTTTGAGATCTACTGTCTTTCTCTATTTAGAAAAATCCTGTTCAAATCAGTCTCATGTTGACTCCTCCTTGCCATTAGAACCTCCCAGAGAATGGAAAAGTTACATTTTTGTCAGAATCTCCCCATGCTGGCTGGGAAATGTTGGGAGTTTTAGTCCAAAAAAGGTAACTTCTCCAAGCTCTGGAGTCTCCTATTACTCATATTGCCATCCTTAACCTATGTTTGCCCCTTGTGGCCACTGGTTACCATGCAAATGAATTCCTGTGTTATGGTCTTCTTCACTGTGAAAACCTCTGGATTTTTCACAAGAAACACCGTTCAAGCAGGGAAAAAAGCATACCGTCATATTTCCATGGATCACAGGGGCATCTTCCTGGAAAACTCCGTCTGTCTTTTGCCTCTCCAGCATCAGCCACTTCACCCCTCCGCAGAGGACATCAGTGCTAATGGTATTTATAAACTTAGAAGCCATGGCAAAGACCTTTACCACGTATGCTGTTAGCCTGCAAAGAACATAAAGGATCAGCCCAACCATCTCAATAGACCTTAATATAACTGGCTGCACACTTCACCTTGTTAGCAAGGAGGGGGTTTCAGTAGTCACACAAGAAAGGAGAAGAGCCTCTAGGTTCAAACCACCAGTGTTTTCAACAAGATCAGGAACAGTCAAGATGAAAATAGGCATCATCCTCTCTTCATTAATACTGAGTGGGGTTGGATGGGGGAAAGGGTTCAGGAAGATGGAGAATGACCCAAAGCATTAGAGTACTAGTGGGTCAACTTTGAGGAATAGCATGTGCTGGGCACCAAATCACAATAGTACATATAAGTGGGACCTTCATGAGGGCTGGTGCTGAACAGGAAGCAGGAAGATGTGAAGGGAGGCTCCTGATTCAGACTCCTTCAGAGCAATCTCGGTCTTACCACGTACTAGACTTGCCATCTGGAAATGCAGCATATGAATGATCACGTTTCTTATATGTCAACTGCTGTGCGTAACCTAAAACAGGAGAATAAGGAAAGCTGTGGAATACTAGGGCAACTCATTAAAAAAAAAAGCACATGTTCCTCCAGAAAGGCAGAGACAACAGCACAAGTCTCACTCACACACACACAAACACACAAGAAAGTGCTTGCCCTCCTTCTAATGCTGCCCTATCTCATCTCATGTTTCCTTTCCACTGCAGGGAGGGGTGCAAAGGGGAGCCTGTAGGTTTTGTGATGTCCTCAGTACCATAAAGCTAGGTCTCCCATAGCTGATAAGATTAGGAGGTTTTAAACAAAGGTATTTTTGGAAACCCCATAGGAGTGGTAATTTTCCTAAAGAAATAGGATGCAGGGCAAACACATCCCTTCAGCCCCTCCCCCCATAAAACTAAAAATGTAATTTGCAAAATGGGAATTTGCTATTTCCTCCTCCTCCATTTTCAGAGCAAATTTGGCCTGGGATGGGTCCTAGAAGGGTAAGATTACGCACTCACACTGCCAAAGCATTACATTTCACTTGGTTTTGGTATGATTTTTTTTTCCTCATTTCATGTTTCAATTTCCCTGAAGACTCCACTTTTCACTCGAGCCAGTTGCTCAGTCAGGCTACACCAACTGACATTCACTAGGGAATCGTCAGCAGGGCTTTTCCTCCCTGAGGCAGGCCAAAGAAGAACTGGGACATCTTACGTATACCTATGGGGAACCAATAATTTTGTAATCCTTGGCACCATTGCCCAATTAGACTGAGAATCCAAATTTTAGCATAATGCTGACCAACAGCATCATAGAACTTTATGGCTCTTTGTTTGTTATGTTATAAAATATATGTACACTGTATTTTCAGGGCCTTCTCTGCTTTTAAGAGAAGTCCCAGCTGACTTTGTATTGCTTTCAGTAAAATTGAACTTTGGTTCAGCTATTTGCATCTTGCCTGATCCCTTTGCCAGAGACCAAATTAGGAAACGGAATTTGGCCCTTAACATGGTGTTCCCCCAAATAAAATAAGCAAAGTGAATGACAGTCCAACGGGGAAATTGATTCCAACAGCTCTGGCAATTCTTGAAAGGTCCTTTCAAGGCCATAAATGGCTTGTGAGGAGAAAACAACAGTTGCTTCCTGCACTGATTTAGCACAAGAACCAAACCTATATGGAGCTGTGGTGATTAGCCATCGCTTTCAGCTGTACTCTCTGAATGATTCCCTTCAACACTTACATCCTGGTCTCAGCTAAGCCCTCAACTGAACCACCACAAGAACACTCACAGAGAGAGAAGTAAGTAACCAGAATGCAGTAAGATCAAGAAAGTTCCTGAGCTGCATACTAGGTAAAGATTCCCCTTGACATTTTTAGTCCAGTTGTGTCTGACTCTAGGGGGCGATGCTCATCCCGTTTTTCAAGCCGTAGAGCAACTGCTTGTGCAAAGACAGTTTCAATTGCCACGTGGCCAGCATGACTAGCGAACACCATTTTACCTTCCCACCAAGGTGGTACCTATTTATCTACTTGCATTTGCATGCTTTCAAACTACTAGGTTGGCAAGGAGCTGGGACAAAGTGATGGGAGCGCACTCCGTCCCATGGATTCGATTGTACGACTGCTGGTCTTCTGACCCTGTAGCACAGGCTTCTGCGGTTTAGCCCACAGTGTTGGGCGTCACTGCATTTTAGGCAGTGGCAAAAAGGAATTGAGGGAGGACAGTTAGAGCCTCCAAGAAGCAATGTGGGAGGGTGGGTCATCTAACAATATCTCTTTATCTATGCTCTGGAAGGTTCCAAGGACTCACACATGTGTGGAAGTTAACCCATCTGTGTGCATTCACAGAGACCACAAAGAAGAATTCAAAAGTTCTCACATGCCTCTCATCTTCCAAGGACAAATAAGATCACAGTGCCTGCTAAATCTAATATACCGTATTTTTCGCACCATAAGACGCACTTTTTCCCCACAAAACAGGGGGGTGGAAAGTCTGTGCGTCTTATGGAGCGAAGAAAACAGATTATATTTTCCTGTTTTCTTCTCCTAAAAAATTGGTGCGTCTTATGGAAAGGTACGTCTTATGGAGCGAAAAAAACGGTATATGTGAGAAAAAGTACAATGACAGACATCTTTTATTATTTGAGGCAGCAATCCTTCTAAATATATGCTAGTTATACTACATAGTTTGACCTTCAGAGTTTGTCACCACATCACTGCAACGGAATTATGAAGTGCCCATCACAAAAAAAGTTCAGCTGTTCTAGTCAGTCAGACTGGTTCAGCATCCTTCATCTGCACCCTAAATTCAGCCAAAATATAGGATGAATAACAGACATATTGCATCAGTTGGTGGAAGAACAAGCCCTGAATGACTGCTTGCCTCACCTTTCGTGATCTGGCTGATTGCAACAGTTCTCCGATCCACCCCAATCTTCTCCCACTGGCCTGTGGTGTCAAGGTAGTGAGTGGCAATAACCGTCGGTGTCATTCTCATCATATTCTCCTCCCCGTTGCCAGAAGGGGTTATGATGAGATGTTGCAGTTTGGTCCCATCAATTGAGTCTTCAACAATATGAGCCACAGGGCTGGCTAATCACACACAGAGAGATACTAAGATGTCAATTTGGGTGCAGAAAGGGAAAATCTGATTTTGTATTTTTACTATGATCTCCACAAATCACACAGCATGGCTAGTAAATTTAGGAAGCTGCAGTCCCTCCTCCCCCCAAAAAAACGTTGCAGTTTGGTCCCATCAATTGAGTCTTCAACAATATGAGCCACAGGGCTGGCTAATCACACACAGAGAGATACTAAGATGTCAATTTGGGTGCAGAAAGGGAAAATCTGATTTTGTATTTTTACTATGATCTCCACAAATCACACAGCATGGCTAGTAAATTTAGGAAGCTGCAGTCCCTCCTCCCCCCAAAAAAACCCAGTTGGATAGTTCAGTGAGTTGGGAAACTGGCTGCAGAGGTTAGCAGTTCAATTCCCCATTGTCCTTCCCAGAAGAACCAGCCTGTATGGCCTTGGGAAAACTGTGCAGTCCTAGAATATCTCCAGAGGAAGGAAATGGTACATTACTTCCAAGTACCTAGAAAACTCAGAAGATAGTCACCAGAAGTCAGAACTGACTTGATGGCGCACGCACACACAAAAAAGTCCAAAAAGTATTTTTCCAAACTCTGGGGTCACTGTACCTGTGGGAGCGCTTTTGTCCACCCTTGCACTCAATGCACTGAGTTGCAGGAAACGTTGCTGCCCCAGTTGACCTGGAGGTGTTCTTTGATCCTGCTGACACCCACAGTCCTAGAGTTCTGCACTTTAAAGGAAAAAGCACTTGCCTTGGAGACTAATTTGGGTCTCAGGTTCTGTGCCAGGAACAATATCATCTAAATCCTTGGCTTTGACTTCCACTTTTTGAACTCCTCCTGGGGGAAAAAAGAATACAAAAAGGGAACACAACAAAGCCCTTTAGCACTGCTTTATGGAGAAACTCAATCAATGCAGCATTTATGAGGATGCAATTTTTGCTCCACCACGTGTACAAAGGAAGATCTAGTAAATGGCTGAGATAATGCTACTGAAGTAGCCCATGTCTGATCAATAACAGTCTATTCATTTTAACATTTTAAATTTCTTTGAACTTTATATTTCATACAATCCATAATTTTAAATTGTGCAACATTCTGATATCAATAAATGAAAAAAGAAAGTTTAACGGTAGTGACCCAGAGGTCAGAAACAGTAGCTGGAATCTTGTTCCACAGCTACACAGATGATGTGACTTTTAGAAGCAAAGTGTCATAAGAAATCTCCATAGGCCATATCTGTGGCACAGTGAGTTGTGTGTCTCACTACACAACAGAAAATGTCTGCAGAGATTTCTTAACTTATGGCATTTCCCTTCCAAAATTTAACATGGTTGTCCAAGTGCACCAAGAGAATTTCAGCCAGTGTTTTCAGGGAGTCCTAAATATTATCCCACTGTTTTCTCAGTGTTACTGCTCATAATGCTGGCTCTGAGTCCATTTTCTGTTTAGCATAGAGATTTATTCTTTGTAAAATGTTGTAGGAGATTAGTGGAAAAAGATGGCAAGCATCACCTATAAGGATGAGCCGGTGTACATGGCCCAGATGTTGTGGACTACATGATTGGGTCCTTTAATAGTTTTTCCAATGAAGACGCGGGGTGGGGGGAGTTAGTATTTCAGTCTACATCCAAGTATAGGCCTTCCATCCAGGGAGGCCAGGGAACTATCCCTGTCCAGAATAGTTTTCAGTGAAGCATCTGAGTGGTTTTAACTGGAAAATGCAGGCCATAACCAGCAGCACTTCCACTGGAGACAACCATCACCACCCCAAGAAGAATCCCCACCAGCAATGACACACCTCGCAGCAAATATACAGGTACAGGAACCAGACTATACCTGGAGAAGACATGCCCTGCTGTCCATGGAACCTTATACCAAATGGAGCTTCATAGTCTTTGAGGAGCTGAAGAACTCTGTGTTGCTTTTGCTGCAAGAGACTAACATGGCTATTCCTCAGGGAGCAACAAAGGGAAGCACAGGAGAAGGATACAGATTAAAGGTACTACTTGCCTTTTCCTTGTGTAGCTGGATCCAGTTCAATGACTGTCACAAGCTTCTTCTGCCATCCTTCAGGCTGGTAAAGAAGAACGTACAGGAATTAGGAATTTGACTACAGAAAAAAATTACTTAAAGAGGCAGGAAAGAGCAAATCAGAGTGACATCGGGTGGACTTTCTGGCACAAATGCAATGTAGTTCAATAATGTATTCATGCCTGAGGGTGAAGAAGGTTTAGCTTAGACCCACAGATTTCAGTAGCTACATCATGACAGCTAAGAATCTCTCCTCTTTAGGTGGGAGGCATCTACACGTAGGACCCCCTTATGGGCCTGGATATCCCCAAAGTCTCCAGTCACACATCCCTGGCGTTTTACCACCAATGTTCTGGTATACTAAGAGAAACCATGAAGACAGGAAACAGCTTTTCAAAATTCTCTCTAGTCCTTATGAAACAGTTCCCACGTTAGAAGGATGACCTAAGGCTCTTTGGTATTGAAAGAAGATGTTCCAAACAGTGCATCTCACTCCACCATCCCACATACAAACCATCCAGTTCACCAGGGGACACAATCCAGCAGCAAGTATTAATTAAGAACTGTGGAAGAGTACTGCTGAGGCTTCTTCTTCATTTTCTTCATTACTATTATTTAATTACAAACAGCACAATCTTGTTCCAGATTTTATATTAATTCCAGTGTACAACTACAGTATTCATATGATTTTTCAGCTAATAATGATTACACAGCATTTGCAAAAATAAGGTTACACTGCAGTTATTCAAGCAAAGGAGACTAAATCTACCATTCAGTAACTGGAATGTGCAAAGTGTTTGCCAGCAGCTCCCATTTGTTAAGTTCTGTATTCCCACTTTCTGGGTGTCTTGAGTGAAATCCTGATCCCAGATAAGTACAGTGGCTGCATCAGTTACAGAAGGCTAAGTCAAGAGGTATGCAAATCTCAGAGGCATTCAACAGGACTAGTCTAGTTGGGAGTAACAGTTTGCTTTGTTCCTTGAATTGCAACTCCCATCATCTCCATCCCAACATGTTAACCAGAGATGACAATCCAGAAGCCATGGAAGGTCAATTCATACACTAGAATTTGGCATAAAGTTCATTTTAAAAGTCCACTTCCAGCAATAAACGTTGAATGCCTTTGGGCAGAAGATGTAAGAGGGAGAGATAAAA